GGACAGGTGTACCTAATAAAGTGGCCGGTGAGTGTATAAAAGTCACTTACCAGCAGCACACTAGCTCTGTTTAAGCTTAATGTTTTGATATATAAATGGTTAAAATATATAAAATGGGATGAAGCATTTAAAGCATTTAAAGTGAGAAAATCATATAAAACCTGGAAAATAACATCATGAATAAAATTTAAATGTAAATTGTTCAGACAAAGCTTTTAGCTCAATTGTAACAGAATGTATGAAAAAAAGAGTTAAACGAGAACACAAATCTAATTTTCATTTCTCCAAATGTCACTTGAACTGACATTATAAAAGGACTATTTGCTACAGTGACTATTTCTTGCTATAAAACATGCATGAAGGAAAATAATAACATGCCTTTCTGAGCTAATGACAGCTACAACTGGTTGTGATTAGATGGCCTTYTCTCCTCATCACTTCTACAAGTTAACATGAGGACACTGCTTGTCCTGCTTCAGACAGCAGAGCGGCGCTGMAAGTCCTGAAACCTCTGGAGTTCGCATTTGTTAAAGGCAGAGTTTTGAACAGGCAGGCATCAGAAGTGGGTTTGACAGCGAGAGGCAGGGTGAAAGTAAAAGTGAAGACGCAAAAAAAAAGATGAAAAGTCCGAGGGAAAGAAGAGGCTTAAGAAAGAAGCGGCATGAGATAAAAAGACAGAGTGGATGAGACGGAGAGAAAGAACAGGCTGTGAAGAATGTGAGACGTGCTGAATTTTTAGTCAGAAAATCTGATTGCATTGGAAAAATTTCTGAAGAGGTTTTTAATCAAATCTTCAGAAAGGAGTCACTGGCTCAACGCTGGCCAACACAAAAATGACTATAACTCGGTCAGTTTCATCGATATTGAGCTCAAATTTGACGTGGTAGTTGTCGACAGTCATTCCCATTAACAGCTTGACAACGCACAATACAGCAAGAGATCAACAATTTTTTAACCAAATCAGCCACAACTTTGTCATTTCCCAACACAAGTTGATCTTACTTTAAAACTGGCATTAAAGGTAACCTTTGAGGAAAGCCCGGCCTTGTTTTTCTATTTTTAACACCAGATATCACCCACATTAACACGTCAGCAGCAAATGAATAATACAACAGCTGATGGACTTTTCAAGTCAAGTAGCACAGGTAGGAGTTTGCACTCTAACTCCAGCACTCTTGTACTGTCAAATAAACTGTTTATTTGACAACAAACAGGTAATCGCATTATTGCAAACTGAGGATGATCCTACATTTGAGCTCGTGATGAGTTTTCCACAAGAATCAAACCCACCTTCTGGCTAAATAAATGAATGAATAACAGTGCTGTCCAAACCTATCCATTCTGTTTAAACTAAGCCACTGTGTGACTGGTAGGTGAAGTAAACAGCAAGAGCTGATAAACAACAGTCTAGCGCCTTATTCTCCTGCCATCTCTCCCACTTAGCTACCAAAGGAGGGCGTGTGAGGATCTAAGACAGGAGGGGAAAACAGCAGAAATTGATTTAAGATGAAACAGCAAGGCAGATGGAGAGATAACTGCAAGAGAAAACAGGAGCGACTCAGATATACGTCAGTACTTCAGAGAGATCAGATCAGATGTAGAACGGGAAGATGAGATTAAGACATTTTTCTTCTTACTATTTAAACATAATAACTAACACATTAACTAACACATAGCACATTTTTTTTCTATTAATTATCCATCCATCCATTTTATTTCTTCGCTGTCTCCTTTTTGGGTCGTGGTTTGATGGTGTCATTGATGGGTCATTCTTCGAGAGGCTGGGGTACRCCCTGGACAGGTCGCAAGTTCATCACATGGCCACATAGAGACAAAAGAGACACTCTCAATCACACCTACATTTTAGAGTTACTAATGAACCTAACATGAATGTTTTTAYGTAGCTTGAGGGAGGAAACCWGAGTACACGGAGAAAAGCCGTGCGTGGAACATGCAGATTCSACACAGAAAGGCWGTGAGACGGACCTAGAAACTTTTCAGTGTGAGCAAGTACCAACCAGTGTGTAGCCGCGGTGCTCAATATTACCATTAGTATTATTATCAGGGACGGCYGGTATAGCTGAGCTAGTAGGGCTAAGCCATCACTGGTGTTTACAATAAAAATACTTAATAAACACAAATTCAAAATATTGTATCAAATTTTGTGAAATTCACAACAGAACCAGTGCCAAACTGTCTCGAGAAAATCCCAGTTTTTCCCAAAGGCGCTAACTTTTCACAGCCTTGTTCATTTAATGTCTTTTGTGGTACAGAAAGATTGGCAGACGTATTGTCCCGCCCCCTCRTTTTGCTGCTCATTGGGGCTAATTTTGTTCAGCCCAGGGTCAGCCMAAGGCCACTGGSTTTAKCCAATGAGGGTGGACGTACAATGAYKTGCCTCAGGCGAGAGTGTATGCAGGCGTGGTTTGGCGTAGACTAGGTACGATGAAGAGCAAGATAAACCTAAAYGAGGTGAATTATTTAATTTCTCATCCATTTCCCGTAATGTCTGAATATTCCGATCCAGCAAAAGGAAAAGCGGTAAAACCAAAAGTTTTTCTGTCATCTGTTTTTTGGCGTGAGGACTGGCTAACGTGTTTACTGTTCGGAGACGCATGAGGTTAGCCCACCCAATAAATACCACCACCAGTCGCCACCGATTACTATTATTATTATTTTTACTGCTTCGTTGCTTTGTTAAAGTCTGTCCTCCACAGTGTCTGCTGAGAAAAAATGGTGATCCGTGTGCAAATTGTGTTAGTGACCCGTAGGTCAACAATTCTGACTTTACTTAAACTTTCCTCAGTCCTACAGACATCTTGCTGTAAACCTATTCCACTGAGTACCAGTAAAAATTCCTATTAAACAAATGAAATGTGAGCGAAGCAGGATTATTTCATTTTATGATGTCTGACTCCTTTTCTCCCTTCTTTTGTCTTCTTTGTTTCTACATCAAGCTTGAGTTTATCCTCTCTATTCCTGACTGTAGAAGGGGACTCTGCTTTAAAATTGTKCTTCAGAGGGAAGGATCTGTTGCGTGCCAGACAACACACACCCACTGCACCTCCACACTTACATAACACACAACACTGAAACGCTCTCACAACCAAACACCTGTGAACAGCTGTCTCTGCGTGTGGACACACCTCTGCAGTCACTCTTTTATGTCATCTTAAAGGCAGCTGTTTGTGTTTAGAATACACATCTGTAAACAAAAAGAGGTTTTATTTACAGTATTCACGTCGGAATATTCATCAAGGCAGAGGATGTGCACATGCTCACTGCGCAGAGTGACAGGGAAGTGACAGTGTTTACAGTCGTGGATGAAGGTCTATGGTACACCATACGCAATCCAGTCAGGGAGGAATACCTTTGCACGCACGCACGCACGCACGCACACACACACACACACACACTCGTCCAGACATAAACACTGGTTACCTGGCCTCTGCCACAGTGCAGCAGTAGCTGCCGCTGCGCCGCGAGCTCCTGCCCACCCGCAGCTCTTCCCGAGACTTACGGCGATTAAAGTAGTCTGTGAGTTTCCCAAAACTCGCCATCTTTATCTCCTTCCTCTCACCTCTGCCGCCTCTGTCTCCTCTTTCTTTTTTKCCCCCCACTCTCGCTTTCTTCTTCCTTTCCTTTATTCCGATGCTTAAAAACAAACAAACCAAAAAGATTTGCAACGGAGTTCTGCCAAGCTCCTCGGTACGTGACCTTCTGACTTCAGTGGTCCGTCTAGCTGAATTTGGCGGCACGGTTTTGAATCGGCTGCAGGTCCGAGGCTTCCCCTGTGCTTCCTGCCTGTTTTTTTCCCCCCCTTTGGTTGCAAATCATTTAATGCGCTTGAAGCAAAGAGAATTGAAAAAAYAAATGAGATGAAATGGAATCATTTAAAAAAGGAAAGCTCCCTCTGCCCTTTCTCTGCCTCCCCGTCCTTGTTTTCGATGGGTCTGCCACTGCGCACCGAATGTACGCGCTGACTCTCTCTCAAAATAGTAACGTTTGTAACTGCCTTCCCATC